GATTGGCTTGGGGCTGGGTAGAAAGAAGGGACCCAGTTAATGTAATTCCAGAATCAAGCTGAATTTGCCAAGTAGCTTACACGGGGGCTTGTGACTGAGTTCCTAGGCTGATTATCTCAAAATGCCAGGCTGCTGTGCTGGGAAGTGTGTGATTCAGCAAACAGTTGGCCACAGAGACCATGTAAAGACCTTTCTGCTCATCTTCTTAAAGACTCACCTCTGAGACATTCTGATTGGAGGCCTTCACCCTCCAGTGTGTGTAGGGATAGGTGTGGGGAGATAGGATTTGAGTGAAACCAGAATGAAAGAGTCTATTTTTTTTTCTTTTTGTGACAGTGTCTTACTCTGTTACTAGGCTAGAGTGCTGTGGTCTCAGCCTAGCTCACGGCAACTTTGGTCTCCTGTCTCAGCCTCCCAAGTAGCCAGGACTACAGGTGCCCACCACAATGCCCACCTAGATTTTCTATTTTTGGTTTAAGCAGGGTCTCGCTCTTGCTCAGGCTGGTCTTGGACTCCTGAGCTCAAGCGATCCTCCCACTTCGCCTTTCGGAAGTGCTAGGATTATAGGTGTGAGCTGCTGTGCCCAGTCAAAGAGCCTACTTCTAATACCAAATGAAGGAAGATTAATTTGACTTAAACTAATTGGAATCAAAACTAATCCATAATATAAAAATATGTAAAATGTTTCTTTTCCATATACAATGGAAAAGTGACAATATTTAAAACCTGAGCTATTACAGCAGCTTTTCAATTTAATTCAATCATTTCAAAAGGAAATAGTTTGTGCTCACATTAAATTTTCTTAAAAGAGACCAGCACTGTGCTATTAAGATGTACATATATGGGTTTATAAAATAATAACTTGCCCACCGTCCTGGTTATGGCCTCCTGTTATATGTTGGGTGGCTAAGCAGGCCTCTGGAAACAGAACTTCTCTCTCCGACCTTCCCTTGCCTGTCTTTCACCTGCTCGAGGCAGAGTGCTAATCTGCTTGTGGGTCATGAGACCCTCATTCCAGAGAGGGTCCTGCCCTGTATGTGGGAAAAGGAAGGCGGCCCCGGAGGCCAAGAAGAATCTGAACAGATAGGCCGTGCTGGTTTCCCACCCTGTCTGACCACTTTTCAACACATTTGTCCCTGCTTCAGCCTTGCCTGTCCAGTGAAGTCTCCATAAAAGGCCCTCGAGGACAGGGTCCTCGGAGCTTCTGGACACTGAACACGGGGAGCTTCCCCGAGGGTGGCACCCAGGGAGGGTGCAGACGCTCAGCACCCCGTCTCCACACCTCACCCTACTCAGCTCCCCATCTGTATCCCCTGTAATATCCTTTCTAATAAACTGGTAAACACAGGTGAGGTTTCCCTAAGTTCTACGAGCCGCTCAAACCCAAAGAGGGGGCTGTGGGAACCCCAACTTAGAGCTGGTTTCTGAGGAGTTCTGGAGGCCTGGACGGAAGAAGAAGGTGGTTTTGTGGGAAGGAGCCCTCAACCCGTGGGATGGACACTATCTCCCGGGAGATGGCGTCAGAACCAAACTGAATCAGAGGACACCAGCTGTGGCTTGGTGCGTGGGGGAAAGTCACAGAGATCTCTGAGTTGACTGTTGCTATGGTGTGAGAGCTGAGGAAAAGTGATTTCAGTTTTTTCCCAATAAGCATGTTTTCTAGAATAGAGATGTGGCTAGTGCAACGGTGGAAGTGACTTTTTAAAATGTATTTAATTTTAATTAATTAACATTAAGTAGCCACCTGTGGTAAGTGGCTGCCATGCTGGATGGCACAGCTCTGCCCTGTGTGCAGGTGTACAGTTTACCCTGGATACGAACAGGTGCCAAGAAGTCTGTAAGAGACACGCACTGTACTGATGACTTCAAACAAACAAACAAAAAACATAAAACAAACAAAAAACCGAAGCGACTGGCTATCCCAAGTGGGACTGGTATGGAGAGTGGATCCTATGCATATGTGGGTGTTTTAGATGGCGGGAGCTCTGTAAGATGGTCTTGTTTTACATGCTAATAAGATAAAACACTTGCTCATAGGCAGCTTCCCCCAAATAGCACAAGCCCTGCCTGAAAATATTACCTCTCATCGCCAGCACCCAACGAAAGAAATGCAGACAGCTGGGAAAGACTCCTGGTCAACTGATCCAATGTCTCCCTGATTCAGCTAAGTGCCTAGACCTCTTTCCCTCTTATAGAGACCTCAATTCAAGACTGTCTCAGGATTTTATTTCACAGGCTAAGAAATGTTTAATAAAAAAAAATTAATGAATAAATAAAAAATAAAAAAATAAATGTTTACTAAAATGTTCTTTTACTTTTGGGTTGGGTCAGGTTGAAAAAAATTGTGTGTATTCATGTATGTACACACACTCACACACATAAATGTATACACAAGGGCTCGGCGCCCCTAGCTCAGTGGTTATGCCGCCAGCAACATACACTAAGGCTGGCGGGTTCGAATCTGGCTCGGGCCAACTAAACAACAATGACAACTGCAACAGAAAATAGCCGGGTGTTGTGGAGGGCGCCTGTAGTCCCAGCTACTCGGGAGACTGAGGCAAAAGAATTGCTTAAGGCCAAGAGTTTGAGTTTGCTGTGAGCCGTGATGCTACAGCACTCTACTGAGGGTGACATAGTGAGACTCTCTCAATAAATAAATGTACACATAAAAATCACCATAAAATACTATCCTAGGAGATCAACAGCAGTGTATATGGTGCTGATCTCCCTCGTGGTTGAACTGTCACAGCTCATGATTGGCCATCATTTTACAACATTCTCAGGTGTGGCCTTTGAGACGACTATACACACTGCTACGGGTGATGTTAAGTTTCTTTTAACAGGTTTAATGCTTGGTTTGTCTACTAGCGCTACATAATTAAGTAGAAACAACACAAAACACTAAGTAAATAATTCTAAAAAGGCTTAGGAAGCTCTTTTTACTCTCCTCGGAGTCATCCTGTGGTCTCCTGAATCAGCTGTGTGCAGGGTGCCAATGTATCGATGTAGTACCTGAAAGATACCACATTTTCCTGTGCTCATGGGTGGCCCTAAATCTCAGGTTCCCAGAGTTTTTCATCTACTTCCATGTCTCCCAGGGAGGAACATTTTTCAACTATTAAATTTATTTTTATTAAAAATGTTCCAATAACTATCTCTTTCAGATTTAATATTTATGATTATAAATCAGCGGTTCTCAACCTGTGGGTCGCAACCCCTTTGTAACAATGAAAATACATCCTGCATACAGATATTTACGATTCGTAACAGTAGCAAAATAAGTAGCAATGAAAATAATTTTACGGTTGGGGGGGTCACCACAACATGAGGAACTGTATTAAAGGGTTGAGGCATTAGGGAGGTTGAGAACCACGACTACAGACAGTTCATTAACATTTGCCATCTGCTTTAGGCCTCAATAATAAAGAAAGCCCAATCGTGAGTTAAGCGTTAATTTTCTTAGCAACTTGGAAAGATTGAGATCACCTCTATTAGATTCCAGACCTTTGTATTTCAAAGGTCTAATAAAGAAACACCAACAGAAGCCCACATAAGAGAAACACAAATTAACAGTTAACTTAGAAGATAAAGTACGCAGGGCACAACATCCACAAAACAGACACCAAACACCTGATCAGACTCAGGACATGCAAGGAATAATTGTGCTTACCAGCTTGAGAGAAAGCTTCATGTAAAAATTGAAGAGGTAATGGTAAAAAAGAGAGAGAGGAAGAGAGAGAGAGAGAGGAAGGGGGGAAAAAAAACAACACATCAGAATAAGAGGAACTCAGTCAATTCCACCATATTAAAATAACACATAAATTCACCTGGTTGATTTATGAAGACGACTTGTAGCAGATCTGTGCAAAAGTTTACAAGCAGGGCTGGTCCCTAATGAAATCTTTCTTAGGCTGCCCCACTGCCAGAGCAAAGACCAGGCAGAAGAAGAGAGTTTCTGCTACAGGTCTGTGTCGGTCACCTCGGCCTGGAGGGGAACTGAAGTCAGCCTGTAGCTGGTGATGTATTAATGCCGATAACTGACAAATGTAATCACACAGCCTCGTTCATCAAATTCCCCATGGGAAGTTTTATGCAGATTAAAAAGAGTCTAAATACCAATACCAATTATTTCCATGACATACATGCTGTAATATTTTTATCTTAAGGGACTCTAATAAATCAAACATTGACATTTCTTTCCTTCCTTCCTTCCCTTCCTCCCTTCCTTTCTTTCTTTTTTTTGAAACAAAGTCTCACTCTGTTGCCCAGGCTAGAGTACCGTGGCATCAGCCTAGCTCACAGCAACCTCAAACTCCTAGGTTCAAGTGATTCTCTTGTCTCAGCCTCCCAAGTAGCTGGGACTACTGGTGCTCACCATGACACCCAGCTAGTTTTTCTATTTTTAGTAGAGATGGGATCTTGCTCTTGCTCAAGCTGGTCTTGAACTGAGCTCAAGCAATCCTCCCACCTTGGCCTTCCAGAGTGCTAGGTGGCCAGGTGTGCCACTGCACTTGGCTTTAAGATCTAATTGTTAAGATTGACTCAATAGTTGATACGTCTTTGTAAATTGAGAATACCTTTTTTTAAAAACTGACCTGATGAGGAAGGAAAGAAGCAATGAGACAATTTTTTTTTTTTTTAGGGAGTGGGGATGTATAAATGTCACATTCCTGGTTTCTTTCCTGTGGGCAGTCTGTAACTGCGTAAGCCCTCCCGTGAACTTTAGCATAGATTATTCAACGCAATTTGAGTTTGTCATACATATAGACAACACTTATGGTGCAGCGCAGAAAACTTTCCAAATATCTTTCCTACGAAGCGCGCTAACATGTACAAACATTTCTCACACATTATTGCCAAACATTGCAAATTCAAAGAACCAACATTTCAACTAGGTATATACTATTTGCTCTTTATTTGGCTACTTTTGTTACTTGAAGCTATATAGTCTTGCTCAAGCGTTCCAAACACAGAATTCTAACATCAAAGTATTGTATGGGAAGATTACCACTGCATAATTAAAACATCTCATTAGGATTGGATATAAATCCCAACAGAAATAGGAAATCCTGAATTCTCAGACAAATCCAGTTTTCTGAAGTGGACAGTGGTAGCTTGTCTACAAGAAGCACGGGATGGGGAATTCTCTATTAACAGTTATAAACTGGTTTCCAGTCTTAAGCTGTAAGCTAGCCAATTAGATCACTTAAAACTAGAAAGCTACTTATTGGCTGAAAGAATAATTTTGCAGATTTCATTAAGTGCATTGCTAGACACCTGAAGAATTAAAAAAGCTGTCAGTTTCAGGCGACAATCAAAAAGCCTTGGGAGCCACAGGCGTCAATAACACATGCGGGGACACAGAGCTGGTGGGTCCATGTGTTATTGGACAGTCACAGGTACTAACCTCAAGTACAAAGAAGGGGGACGGTGAAAATCAATACGGAGGCGTACGTGGTAGACACCCAAGTAAAATTGTGTTACTACTCCATGAACTTGCTCGAATTTCATTGATATATATATATTTTTGGTTTTCAAAGCTTTATGGCATAACCCCCTTATGGATCCACTCGTTACAAACACGGACCCATCTCTGTGGATAACTGTGCCATGCAACTGCCGTCTGTAAGAGCGTCATTCTTCTGCGACCATGTTCCGCAGCTGCGCTTCATGGGGGCGGATTCTACTATAAAATCGCACCAATGACAATTCAAATGGCAGTTACAAGCCGGTAAAGGATTTTACCAGAACTAGAACAAAAAGAGGAGGAAAAAAAAAACCCAAATCAAAAACAACAAGCTCAGCTCACGGCTGTTATTACGAAGTATAATTATGATTAGGAAGTTTTTCGTTCCTTATTTTATGCAAGTTTTTCAGCTGAAGTAGCCTAGGGTTGAATTTATGCATTTATGCTTTTTCCCTGGTGTCCAGTTCTGTTATGTAAGCATAACAGAGTGTAGGAGGGTCCCCAGTCTTGGTGCTCTGAATGGGGTTAGTGGCTGCGCCGTGACTGCGTGACCTGGCCGTCACAGGTGAACTTACAACATAGTCCCTAGCCTCAAAGGCATACGTGGGTTTCCCTATTGTCCTCTTCATGAGTTCTTTGTGAAAACAGAAAGATTGAGTCTGCCAATAACCAGCAAGAGAACAAGATAACATAAATAAAGTTAAAGTAAGCACAAGACTTTAACATCTGACAAACAATTGGTAAGGATTTTCAAAATCTTTTTGATCAACTTTGATGGTACTTTTCCATACAATTAAAATATGGGTGGGAGGGGTGGTCCATATTTTAGATAGAGAAGTCTTTGACACAGGCCAGAAAATGAAATCTTAATTTAAGACAATAAAATTACATTTTGGAGGTTGAAAATTGGGAACATACCATCTAGTTTCATTTTCCTTTGACTTACGTAAATAAGTCATAAACTGTTGTGAAATAATAGTGCTCTTTAAAGGCTTTCAGCAAAACAATTTTCTTACAAATGTCAACAGCTTACGACAAAAAATATTTCACCTTGTTTAATTATAGTAGAACCTCTTTAAGGTGACCACCCAAGGGACCGTAGCAAACTGGTCAACGTAAGGAAATAGGCCTATTGTATGATACGTACATGTGGTGCATGTCCAGTCTATGAAAATTAGGTCAGCTTAAGGAGGTGGTCAGTGGAAGGAGGTGGTCAACTATGGAGGTTCTACTGTATTTAGAAACAAAGTCAGTCATGCTGAGAAATATTTGTACAGGATTTATATACTGTGATAACAGAAACAAATTATTGAAATATGAATCCCAAAATTACAAAACATAAAAAGTTAAAAGGTACAGACTTGTTATTCTCCTAGGAACTTCTCTAACTAAATTATCTTTGGCATAATGGTCTTTTAAAATATATATTGTTTATTTGCCTCCACTTCCTGGTAATGATTTATAATACTCTTAAGTTAGAAAACAGAATGAATTAAATGATAGCAAGGGTTGTATCGTTTTGGTCATGGAGCCTGTAAACCATGAACCTTCTGGGTTGAGACTGCTTCAAAGTCAAATCTATTCCCCAAACTATAGATTTGTTCTTTCAACTTTTTTCTTTCTTTTGCTTTTTACAGAAGTTCTTAAAGCAATTTTATTATATATTGGTTGAACTTCCTAGAGGAAGGAACAGCAAACCTGACCCCAAGTATGACCAGAAATGAAGGAAGCAAAAATATTTTTCTATTTCTTTACTAATGCTTCTAGCTGGTGTATGTGTGTGATTTGCCCTCGGGAAAACATACTCACCATTTAGGAAATTTTACTTAATAAAGATTTGCTGAGCACAGATTTGAGGAATAGGAAATGAAATTCATATCGCTGATTATGGTAAAAAAAAAAAAAAAAAAGGATCTTCTTTAAATCATCAAAATAACCAGTGTCCCATTTCATGGTTTTTTTTTTAGTGTTACATTTTTTTCAAACCATCTTTTTCTTATTGATTACTGAATTCTTTGATCTTTTCCTAAACATTTCAAGAATATCATGAAACAGAGATTCAGAAACCATTTGCAACCAACATGCTGCGTGATGTTGAGAGCAGACTGGGATAGGCACATAAACAAAAGCTAAACAACCCCCGACATTCAACACCGCTCACCACGAGAGTCCAAAAGACAGATGCAGAGGTGTTTATCGTAAATACAATAGGTGAGTGCTTTGTAAAGGTGCTGGAAGCGGCAGGGATGGGTTATCTGATTATTCTTAATATAAAACTGATAGTCTTATCAAAAACACGTTTATCGTATGTCAGAGATTCTTTGATGAACAGTGAGTGGAGTCCTAAAAGCCGTCATAATCGAGAGAAGATACTGCAGCTTCCCAGCAAGTCCTGACAATAGAGGTCAGCACGATCCATCAGCCACTGGGAGGCTGGACTCCGCCTTCTAACAATGCCTGTCTCCACATCTTTAGGAAAGTAAATTTCTAATTCTTAACTGGATATGCTGGGTAGCCTTAAAACAAGGTGATTTCACCAACTGTATTCTTCGCATAAAACTTTGAGACTCTTATTAAAGGAACTCTGCATATAAAGAAATGGTTTGTCCCTTATTTTACAGGTAGCAATCGAGTCACCCATTATATACTGATATTCTTTTTTATACAAATTACTTGTTGTGGACTCAGAGAAATAATATGATTGTCAGGTTAACAAGGACTACCACTATTCTACTGGTAACTAGCTATCGATTCTAAACCTGACAAGGACACCTCCAGTGGAATTAAGAGGGTATGGTTTATAAGACAGTTTAGAATCCCTTCCAATGGACCAGCTGACGCTCAAAAAGAAAAAATAAAACTTGAGAATTTTTCATTCAGAACCATCGTGGGGCTTGCATCCAATTCTGGCTTTAGGGGTAACTTAACTAGGAGGCACCGCTTGTTTAGAAGTAACCCAACTGTAGGTTGGCTGTGGATCCTACTAAAGGAAGAGATAAAAGTCATGTTTGTAAGAGAAAGCATTCCACTACGCTGTGTTACAACTCCCACGGGACAGGACTTAGAACAAAAACCAAAAGAACCTTTCTGGATATGCTATGCACGAAAGACCTCTTTGCTCCTGATTGCAAACAGCATTATCATTGTAAGAGGGAGTTTGGAGAGGCTTAGGCCACACTGATCATTTAGATTGATTCAGAAGCTACAAATTACTGCAATCTTTTTCTTTTTTTTTTT